CCAGCCACGTGGCAAGGTATAGGTTTATAGAAATGGGTTAATTTAAGATAAAAGAACAGTTAGCAAGAAGCCTGCCATGGCCATACAGTTTATAAGTGATATAAGCGTCTGAGTGATTATTTTATACGTGGATTGTGGGACTGCGGGGCTTGGGGAACCTGGAGAGAAGCCCTCCAGCAACACAGCCCTACAGAAAGTGCTAGAAGGAAAAATCCAACTTTCTGAGGTTAACCACACACATGAAAACACAGAAGGTAAATAATCTCACAGCAGCAAAACCAAAAGAAGGGAAACACAGACACAGATGCACACACAGACACAAACACACACACCACCTCCACCACCACAACAAAACAAGAACAACAACAACAACAAAATAACAGGAATTAAAAATCATTGTTCATTGATATCTCTCAATATCAATGGTCTCAATTCCCCAATAAAAAGACACAGATTTTAAAAAGTGGATACAAAAATAGGACCAATCCTTCTGCTGCATACAAGAAACACACCTCAACATTAAGGAATAGCCATTATCTTAGGGTAAAAGGTTGGCAAAAGATATTACAAGGTCTAGAGAGATTGCTCAGAGGTTAAGAGTATTGACTGCTCTACTAGAGATCCTAAGTTCAACTGCCAGCAACCACATGGTGGCTCACAACCATCTATAATGAGATCTGATGCCCTTTTCTGGAGTGCAGGCAAACATGCAGACAGAACACTGTATACTTAATAATAATAATAATAATAATAATAATAATAATAATAATAAAAACCTTTAAAAAAGATGTTGCAAGAAAATAGAACTAAGAAGGAAGCTGGTGTAGCCATTTTAATATCTAGCAAAATAGATTTCAAACCAAAATTAATTAAAAAAGAGATGAAAAAGGACACTACATAATGCCAAAGGAAAAATCAACCACGAAGACATTTCAATTCTTAACAACTATGTCCTGAGCACAAGGACACACACTCTACTACAGTATAAATTACACATTGACCCTCACACACTTATAGTGGGAGACTTCAATACCCCACTCTCATCAATGGACAGGTCATCCACACAAAAACTAAACAGAGAAATGCTAGAGCTAACTGAAATTATAAATCAAAAGAACCTAACAGAAATTTACAGAATATTCTACCCAAACAAAAGAATATACTTTCTCAGCACCTAACAGAACTTTCTCCAAAACTGACCACATACTTAGACAGAAAACAAATCTCAACAGATACAAGAACAATTGAAACAATCCCTGCACCCTATCAGACCATCATGAATTAAAAATGGATATCAACAACAGAAACAACAGAAAGCTCACAAACTCATGGAAACTGAATGACTACTGGGTCAAGACAGAGAAAAAGAAATAAATTAGACTCCATAGAATTAAAAGAAGATGAATACACAATATAACCAAATTTATGGAAAACAATGAAGGTGGTGTTAAGAAGAAAGTTCATAGCACTAAGTACCTACATTAAAAAAAAAAATTGGCCAGGCAGTGGTGGCACACACCTTTAATCCCAGCACTCAGGAAGTAGAGGCAGGCAGATCTCTGTGAGTTTGAGGCCAGCCTGGCCTACAGAGTGAGTTCCAGGACAGGCTCCATAGCTACAGAGAGAAACCCTGTCATGAACAACAAACGAACAAACAAACAAAAAATTGGAGAGATCTCGTACTAGCAACTTAACAGCACACCTGAAAGCTCTAGAACAAAAAGAAGTAAGCACACTCAAGAGGAGTAGATGGCAAGAAATGATCAAATTTAGGGCTGAAATCAATAAAATAGAAACAAAGAGAATAGTACAAAGAATCAATGAAACAAATAGTTATTTTTTTTTTTTTACAAAATCAAGACAGACAAATCCTTATCAAAACTAACTTAAAGATGGAGACAAAATATCCAAATTAATAAAATGAGAAACAAAAAGAAGATATAACAATAGATACCAAGGAAATCTAGACAACCACAAGGTCATACTTTAAAAATCTAAAAGAAATAGACAAATCTCTTGATAGATATCCTTTGCCAAAGTGAAAGCAAGATCAAATAAACAATTTAAATAGACCTATAACCCCTAGTGAAATAGAAGCAGTCATTAAAAGTCTCCCAACCAAAAAAAGGCCCAGGGCCACACAGTTTTAGCTCAGAATTATACCAGACTTTCAAAGAAGAGTTAACACCAATACTCCTCAAACTATTCCACAAAATAGAAACACAAGTAACACTGTCCAAATCGAATGGAAGATACAGACATAAATCCACACACTTATGGACATTCAAATTTGACAAAGAAGGCAAATGGTACAATTGGAAAAAAGAAAGCATCTTCAACAAATGGTGCTGGTCTAACTGGATGTCAGCAAGTAGAAGAACGCAAGTAGATCCATATCTATCATCCTGCACAAAATTCAAGTCCAGGTTGATTGAAGACCTCAACATAAATGAAGATACACTGAACCTGACAGACGAGAAAGAACACATTGGCACAAGACACAACTTCCTGAACAGACAACCAATAGCACAGACACTAAGATCAACAAATAGTAAATGGGAACTCACGAAGCTGAAAATTTTCTGTAAGGCAGAGTACACCATCGATATAGTACAAAACAATAGCCTACAGAAAGGGCAAAGATCTTCACCTACCCCACATTTGACAGAGGGCTGATTTCCAAAATATATAAAGAACTCAATAAAATAGTTATCAAAAAACCAAATAATCCAATTAAAAATGGGGTTTAGATCTACAGAGATAATTCTTAGCAGAAGAATCTGAAATGGCTGAGAAACACTTAAGGAGATGTTCAACAATTTTAGCCACCAGGGAAATGCAAATCAAAATGACTCTGAGATTCCATCTTATATCTGTCAGAATGGCCATGATCAAAAACACAAGAGACAACTTATGCTGGAGAGGATGTAGAGCAAGGGGAACACCCCTCCATTGTTGGTGGGAGTGCAATCTTGTACAGCACTTTGGAAGTCAGTGTGGTGGTTTCTTAGAAAACTGAGAATCAATCTACCACAATACTCAGCTACACCACTCTTGGGCATATACCCAAAGAATGCTCAATCATAGCACATAGACACTTGTTCAACTATGACCATAGCAGTGTTATTTGTAATAGTCAGAACCTTGAAACAACCTAGATGTCCCTTAACTAAAGAATAGATAAAGGAAATGTAGTACATTTACACAATGGAGTATTACTCAGCTGTTAAAAACAAGGA